AAAAAAAAAAAAAAAAAAAAAAAAAAAAAAAAAAAAAAAAAAAAAAAAAAAAAAAAAAAAAAAAAAAAAAAAAAAAACTCAACATTAGACAAAAAAAGGTGGTTGGAACTAATAAAAGAATATCAGATAGAGATCTTGTACCATCTTAGAAAAGCTAATGTTATAGCTGACGCCTTAAACCGGAAGAAAGCTCCAAAAAGAAATGCTTGGGGTTGGCATCGAGTTCTTAGTTAAAGGCTTAACGACGAGACTGACACAACTAACAATCCAACCTACACTAAGAAGGCGTATAATTGATGCTCAGAAAAATGACCCTTGCCTCAACAAAGTCTTGCTTCCAACCTACACTAAGAAGGCGTATAATTGATGCTCAGAAAAATGACCCTTGCCTCAACAAAGTCTTGCAACAACATGAAGCTAACCGTCCCGAGGGATTTTTCATGTGTACAGGATAAAGGTCTCTTGTGAAGAGGATGGTTGTGCATACCCAAGGACAAAGGACTGATGAAGAAATTACTCATAGAAGCCCACAATTAGCCATTAGCCATCCACCCTGGAAGCACCCAAATGTATCAAGACTTAAGATCCTATTATTGGTAGCAAGAGATGAAACGGGACAGAACGGAGTATGTAAGCCGATGCTTGACGTATCATAAAAAAAAACACCCGTCAAGACTCCTACAACGCCTAAATATCCCCCAATGGATGTGGAAGGACGTTACAATGGATTTCAACCCACGGTTACCTAAGATTAAGAAAGGCTTCACTGTCATATGGGTTATCGTTGATCGATTAACTAAATTCTCACATTTCATCCTTGAGAAGACTACTTACTCAGCAGACAAGTTGGCCCAACTCTACATGGAGGAGATAGTTCGATTACACGGAGTTCTTGTATCAATAGAAGTCTGCAAAAGGTAGTAGGTATGTAGTTAAAGTTCAGTACATCCTTTCACCTTCAAACAGATGGTCAAATAGAAATGCTCGACCGTATTGGAAGACATACTAAGACCATGTATCATAGACTTCACTGGAAGTTGGGATGAGTACCTGCATTTCATGGAATTCGCTTATAATAATTGTTATCAGGCCACCATACAAGGCACTTTATGGACGTAGATGTCGATTCCCTTCCTTTTGGGAAGAAGTGGGAAAACAACAACTATTAGAGCTGGACTTATGCAAATCACCAATGCCGCAATCCAAAAGTTAAAGGTGCTCAAGTTTGATAAAAAGGGAAAACTAAGACCTAAATTTATCTGTCATTTCGAAATATTAGAAAGGATAGGATCTGTGGCCTATAGACTCGCACTATCTCCAAACTTGTCTACCGTACACAATGTATTTCATGTATTCATGCTATGAAAGTATACTCCTAGAATATAGAAATTCTATTATTTTAATAGATTCTATTCTAATCCTTAGAATAGATTCAAATAATCTATCATGATTTTAATGAATCTTGCCCCCCCACCAGCCAGGAAATGAAGAACACAAATCTAGTAGCCCAAACAAGATGTCGGCGTAGTGGCATTTCCTTCGGTTACTGCTAAATCCCTTCAAACTTCATTTTCGTCTTTTTTTTTCTAAAGTTTTTCTAGAAAAAAATATATCCGGTTTATTCAATCCATAAATATAAATAACTAAAAAAACCATCAATTCAAATCCTGAATTTTCGAATTGAGAGATCAAGAATTCTCACTATTTCTTAGATTCATGGACCCAATTCAATTCAGTGGGATCTTTCATTCACATTGTGTTTGCACATGAATCACTTTCCTTATATGCTCATGGTCTTAGCACATGCAAGTTATTCAACAAAATAGATCAAATTTCAAATAACTTTGTTACTCTAAAAAATTTAATCGATTATTGTTTGCGGATCCCTTTTTACAAACAAACAAGGTAGCGACAAAGATAGTGGGACAAAGACATAAAACGTATGGCTGTGAATGAATGCAGCAGATAGGAAGGTAAGGTAAGGTAAGGCCACAAAGTGTGTGTGTTTTTCCATAAGGAAATTAAAGTTTATCCAAAGCCATGCCTGCCTTCGCCAACGCCACCACGCTCTTCTCCTCTCGCATTCCCACTCCCCACAGATGCCACCGCCATCCCTTCCCCATCATCTCCGCCTCCCTTTCCATCCACCGCCGCCACATCGCGACCGCCCTCGCACTGGTGGTCGGGCTGCAGGCTGCAGCACCTCCCGCGCTGGCCCAGACCTGGGGCACCCACTCATTCATTAAGGAGAGATACTTCGAGCCGGGGCTGTCGGGGGAGGAGGCAGTGGCAAGGATAAGGCAGACGGCGGAGGGACTCCACAGCATCCGCGACATGCTGGAGACGATGTCGTGGAGGTATGTCATCTTCTACATTCGTCTCAAGTCGGCTTATCTCTCCCAAGACTTGAAAACTGCCATGTCCGTTTTGCCCCAAGCTCGCCAAAATGAGTATGTTAAGACTGCTAATGAGTTGGTCGATAACATGGCCGAGGTATGTGCTTTAATTACCATTTGATTTTATTTGATTTGAATCCCATCTCAAAATTTTGAATTTTTTTTTTTTTTTTTTTTGACAAATTATGCATTGGAATTTGTGAGATAACGTAGGAATTTAGAGGGTAGTTTAGTAGGATGTTGTAGTTTGTAGTTTGTTGGATGAAAGTTGCACGTCCACTCATTTAGTAAATAATCATGGGTTTATAATAAGAAACACTATATCCATTGGGTATGAGACCTTTTGAAAAACTCAAAGCAAAGTCACGATCGCTTATGCCCAAAGTGGACAATACCATACATTGAAGGGTCGTGTTCATCTAACATAGTTTATATAAATTAAAGAATAATTTGGTTTGTGTTTCAGTTGGATTACTACGTTCGCACACCCAAGGTGTATGAGTCGTATTTGTATTACGAAAAGACACTCAAATCCATGGATGATCTGGTGGCCATACTAGCATAGCCTCAGTTATTAGCACTTAGGATTCATCAAAGGGAGGCCTCATCTTCCATAAATTACTGTACATTTGGATGTTAACAGTCTTATTACAAATACATATGTAAAATTTGTTTATTGGACAGTAATAATATGCCTAAAATCTTTTAATCTTATCATTTGTTTAAAAAAGTACTTAGGTTTAATATATATATATATATATATATATATGAAAAAAATTCATGTGCATGTGATAGCTCTTCTATTTACTCTTTGTTCTCTGTTGAAGAACCAAATTGTACCATATATATTAGGATTTAGAGATCGTTTAGGGATGTTTCATTGTATTTTCAATGGATCATAGGTTACTTCAAAATTTATTTTAAGAGCTATAAATAGATATTGTTATTGTTGTTTTAGTAAGAAGATTTTGACATTGTTGTTTTAGTAAGAAGATTTTGACATTAAAATGAAAGTTTATATTATGTTTCTTATCCATGTACTTGTTTCTTTACATTTTTATGTATAAATTTGCATATAAGAGTCGTTTAAGTAGTTTTGATCATGCTATCTTGTGGAGTAATTCTAATCACGGGTTTATCAACAAGTTTTATTTACTCTTGTTCTTGATCATAAATGTAATCTATTCTAACTTTTTTTTTTTTAAAGTTGATTCCATATGGTGTTTGGGTTCTTAGATAATTTATGTGTAAAAACCTTTTTCTTCAATAAGTTTGTTAGATCAAGTTCCTTTTGCTATCTAATATTTGAAATTTGAAATGATAGGATAACCCTAACTAGTTAAATCTAAAAACTTTCGTAAGTGTTTTAGATATATAAAACCCTAGTCTATACAAATGCTAAAGAACAATTTGATTTCATTCCAAATGATTACAACTCTGGAGAATTTAATCTAATTCCCTTATTGAATTATAATACCTTTAGATCTAAATATATCCAAAAACCTCAAACCCACAAAGATTCACCCTACAAGTGAGTAGTTAGATTCAAATTACTTTGTTAATCACACTTGTTTGAAATTCGAATCATTCCATGAGTAATATGGATCAAGTCATTTTAAGCATGCAACCTAAACTACATAGAATTACAAAATAACTTAGCCATTGACTACAAGAAAGCACAAATGCTCGTTTTACTGCATTTTTTAAGCCTATTTTACCATGACAACATGCATAACTTTATATAGCTTCAAAATGAACCTTTGACCTTCCCATGAGTCATTTCAAGAGTTGTAACTTTCATACTTTATAACTATAATTAGTCACTTGTAACATCCTCTTTATACGAACTTTCTCCGAAAATATCCCAACCTCTTTCAATGTTTGCACAACATCGTCTTCATCTTCATCATATATTATAAACCACACAAAAGACTTCTTCTTGCCCAATTCTCAGTCCCAATGATCTGCTTTTCCTCCTTTTCTCCATCTTCCTCCTTCCGTCGTTGCTCTAACAATGGCCAACTTACTCTGGCAAAACTTCCTTCCTCGTTGAAAATGGCCCACGATCAAAATATGTCGAAACAAATAAAGGGAGCAAAAAGAACAACTTGAAGGAAGAGATCTTTTGGAACAAAGAACGACACTTAGCTTTTCCATTCTCTTTATTGTTGTGAAAAAAACATACATATTATGAGTATTTATAGTGGATAAAGCACTACCTACCTTCTTAAACTTTCTCTTCAAGTTTATAACCTCTAACCATCTTTCTAAGGTTACTAAGTCTATTAATAATTCTCCTAAAGTTACTCCATAAGTTAGTAACTTATTCTACTAAGTCAAGTTTATTAGCTTGTCTTTGTTCGAGATTCATCACTCCCAGCAATTCTCGCATCTCTGCAAATCTAAACCTTGCTAGGACCTTGGTTAGAATATTTGCACGTTGCTCTCTAGAACATACAAACTCCTCAATGATTTGTCTCTTCTCAACACACTTATGGATGAAGTGGAAGGGAGTGTCAATGTGTTGTTGCGTCTGTGAAATTTTGGATTCTTCATTAGTGTAATTAGAGATTTGTTGTCGACGTAGAGAGTTACCAGCTTTAGTACACGTCTAGTCACTTCATTCAACAAATTTCTCAGTCACAATGTCGCAGTTGTTGCCATAAACTCGACCTCACAAAAAGATAGCACCACAGTTTGCTGCTTTTGAGATTGCCAAGAGATCAACTTTCTGTTGACATAAAACGCCATTTCTGTGGTGCTTTTTCTATCATCAATGTCTCTAGGTAAATAACTATCCATAAAACCGACTAGTTCTACGGGACTTTGCCCTCTTTGATACTTCAACCACTCACTATTCCAACAGCATATGAAAGGTCTGAAAGAGTATGAGTCAGGTTGCGATGACTTCCGATGACGTGCCCATACTCAGTAGAATTCACCAAGTTTCCTTCAGTATCTTTTCTTAGTTGTAACTTTGCTTCCATGTGATACTAGGTTAGGTTATACTCTGCCATCTTAAATTGCTGCAACAACTTCTTAGCATAGGTCGATTGCTTTAACATGATGCAATATTTCCTTTGGTCCACTTCAATACAGAGGTAGTACGTGAGTAACCCGAGATCAGTCATCAAAAATTCTTTCATCATTTTTTGCTTGAACTCTTTGACGCCATCCAGAATTGTACGAGTGACGATCATGTCATCAACGTACACGCCAACCATGAGTGTTTCAGCCTCATTATTTCTTGTATACATTACTTGTTTTCGCGAGAACTTTATGAAGTTTAGACTCTTTTGGCAGTTCAAGATATAGGTTTCACTGACCTTGAGAGTTGAGCCATAGAGATCATGACTATACGGTTATCACGACCTGATTTTTGAGGCTTCAAAATTCGGACCGTGACTAAAAAGACAAAAGCAAAAACAATTAAAAAGAAATTAAAAGAGAGGTAGAATAATATATAAAAATACCATTTAATTAAAACATAGGAAAGAGAAGTTTAATTTCAGATATTTCAAAGGGGTTACCAAATATAAAAGGAAACTCAAAAGACTCCAAAATGACAAAACGGACTGATGCTCTAGAACGACCCCTTCTGTGACCACACAACTCTCGAACGCTTCTCCACCTCGACTGGCAGTCTGCGAACACCTGAAAAAGATAAGAAAATTGGGATGAGTATAAAAACTATACTCAATAAGCCACCTACTTGTAGGCTCTCATCGCATTCTAGGCTTAACAGTTTCCCACGGACTTATCTTTGGCTCTAGGATGTCTGGTTCTGGTCTTGTCTCCTTGGGGCTAGTTTTCTGTCCTTTCATTTACACCCTAAGAGTTCCCTTATGTCGAGTTGTGAATGACTAGTGACCTACGAGAAGCTACCTCAAACATGGCTTACGAGACTGCTTGGTATCTTCCTAGAAAGTGAGCTGCAACCCCCTAGGTTCATAGTAGTCCCCCTCATCAAGAAAGGATTACCCTTCCCTTATCCCATCCAACTAAATGGTATGTACGACGTGGGCTCACGTTTTCCATATGAAACAACTAGGAGTAGTGAATTCTAATTAGGAACACCTAGTCCCCCACGAAGCTATGACACCGTTCATACACTTGTAGCCTAAGGGTACTCCTAAGGTAGTTCGTATGTCGTGGTGGTCTATTAGGCTTCTAAGGGAAATGTTAGGTCTATACTTAGTGACTTGTCACTCTAACCTCAAATCCCTAGACTTATCATAAATATGGGTCAAGGAAATTAACTTTGTACACAGAACTATCATCTAGCATCATCATACATAATTCATGCAAAGTAAACATACATGTTCAACGGGACAATAACATCCATCAAGCTCCTGGAGCGCAGAGTTCACAAATTTTCATCCTTCTTTCACCATTAATTAAACATATACATGTATCTAACAGAAGCTTAAAGCATAATTGCAACACTCAGATAATTCTCATAATGCTTTACATAATACATTCATACTCATAATAATCACATTACCTATATTCAATCATGGAAAGCTACCACCTAAGATAAATTCACTAGCATGCATGCATTCCAAGCTATCCCTACAAGTGTTGCTTCCTAAAAATCCATACTTTGACTTACATGATTGATACTTGCCATTTTTTTAGCTTTACTATGAGAATAAGGTGTCCAAAATACTTATTTTCCTCAATTAGGTCCTAAATCACATAAAAATATGACTATAATTAAAATTGGGATGAAAATCGGGCAAACAGAAGCGAACAGGCTGAAAAGGAGCTTACACATGCTGTGTGTCACAGTCATGCTCGTCCAAGGGATATTGCCCATGGCCGCATGCCCATGACAAGCCAACCCCTTTATGTCTTTCCATGTTCTAGTGTTTTCCTTTTGTATTTTTAGGAAGTATGACGTTTCAGAAAAATCATGTCTAGGCCTGCTAGACATGAAATGCCTCAGAATGTACTATACAGGGGGATATGACTAGTTGTCAACTTCTCCCTACCCAAAGTTATATACTGTGAGCCGTTGTTGTTACTCTCTTGCTTGCTTATATAACGTCTCTTTCAAAAATCTCTCTCTGCCCTCGTTTTCTAAAACCTTCTCTTAAACCGAGGCCAGAGGCTCGAACATACGTCGCTTGGCCGTAGGCGACGCAAGAACGAATTGGCTTAGCTCACTTGTCGTTGGAAAGTGAGTGCCGCACAATCGCAAGTCCGCTGCCATCAAGAGTGCGATTGTGACACCCTGCACGCGCTCCCATGCACCAGAGAGGAACTCCGCATGCACCTCCATGTGTGAGTATGAACGTGCTTGAGGGAGGAGGACGCGCGCTCTGGTGCTACCATGTGGCGCGCTCGGGTTGGTCAGTCAGTAACGAGTGCATGGGTTCAAATTTGGAAGCGTTCACTAGAAATATGAATTCTCTTACGCTGAAGCATGGCCACAAGGAGTCAGGTCGGCAATTCGGGTCGCGTGCGGGTTCTCGAGTCATGGACTCTGGTAGCGGGCTGCAGGCCTTCGAATCTTGCCCGACGCGAGGTATTTCGTTGATTTTTCTTTGCCTCTGGATGCTTGACACGTGGCCCTTCTTCTCCGGCGATGCGCTGCCCCTTCCCCGTCTGACACGTGTCCCAGCCGCCTTCTGACGCATTCTCCTACCCCAGTGCTGCGATTTTCAGAGTACAATATTTTTCCATTTTCTTCGCATTTTCATATTTCTTTCTACGTAACTCGAATTAACACCGTTCCTTCACATTATTTTTAAAGTTTATATCCTTCTACAAGTAGGTATTTTTCTTGTAATTTATTTCTAATCACATAGATAATTAACTTAGTCTAAAGATGGCAAGAAACATCAATAATACCTACCTCCTTTGACATATGCTGGAACTCCTATTTTTTATCGGAATCGAATACTACTTCTTTCATAGATTATGAGCGTAATTCTCCCTAGATTAATATACTCCAATTTTAGATTCTAACTCTTAATATTTTTCGCAAATCTGAAGAAAATTCGAGAATAAAGATTCAAGAACTACCTTCGAATTTTTTTGCGTTTCTTGACGGTTTTGGACGATTCAAAGGTCCAGAATACTTCTCCTCTAGGTTCTATGAAGGTTTCATGAAGAAGGCTCGACCAAAATCGGACTCCTCGTTATCGGAGCGACTGTTACCTCTCTCTCTCTCTATTCATTTTCTTTTCTTTTCTTTTCTTTTCCCCTGAGAAAAGGTCCGATCCATTAATATCATGATTGGGTCGCCAATTGTCTTGATCGTGGGATATCATTGAGAAATAGGAATCCGTGGCTACTGCAGTTTTACCGGTCTGCCTGTCCCCAATAATTAATTCTCGCTGACCACGTCCGATAGGAAGGGCAGAATGACCGAGTTTCCCCTCTCGTGTAGACTTTGACCATATTTCTAATTTTCCACCATTTTTCTTTTATAATTTTCTTAAGTTCCTCGTTTGTTTCTAAGGATTTTTCTCTCCTACCTCGTCTCAAAATTTAGTCTTTAAGATCCATGAAAGTTTGACTTTAAAGATAAAATTAAATTTAAAATTTTCTGTCAGAGCTCCGGTCTTACAAAGGTTTTATTGGAGTCTTCTACAACTAAGTTCAAGTTAAAAAGACTTCTAAAATCACAAAAGTGCACTATGATATTTAGAGGGGACATTCCCCGTGAAAGATCACCTAAAGATAAAAAGTTGCTTTCGACTTTGGAGTAGAGGTTCAAGCTCATTATAAACTTGTGGTTAATAGGAATATGTGACCACCTTAACAGTTGTCCTTAGGTTAGGAAGAGGGTGCTCACAAAGTTAAGGATGTGGAACTGTCATGGTAGACTAGCAAACTCGGGAGTCGAGGACAACAAAATAAGGATGAAGTTATGGCCACACCTTCACCATCTGAAGAGAGGAAGTCCAGACACTATGGAAATGAGAATTTACCTTTGAGTGGATTATAAAGTGATCGCTTGTGAATGTATATATTAAAATAGTGTAAAATTTACAAGAATAAGTGCAAGTATACGCTATCACAAGTAGCAAGTAATAAGCAAATTATCAATTCCACATGAAACTTATCTTTTTGGTTACTTTTGTTGCTGGAAATTAAGTGAGTTTTGATATCATTCAAATGGGTGTTATTGAGTTATACTATTTAAACAGAAATTATGCAAAGTGTCAACTCGAAAAACAAAAACAGAAAATAATGAAAAAATCAACCATAATGAGAAAAGTTGGGTAAAGAGAAATTAAATAGATAAATTGTTGAACTTTATGGTAGATTTTAGCTCTGTTTAATAGATTTTGAAGCCCATTTTCGAGAGTCAATGCATGGTGATTACTTCCTTAGCCGTTTTGTAATTTCTATTAATAATGCTCTAGAACAATAATTATTTATAACCCTTTAATTACCTTGAGTATCTTTGCAATTGAAACTAGAGTATTAAAGAGAATTTTATCCCCCTCTTCTTTCGAATAAGAAAACAAACATGTATGTATGTAGAGTGACGAACTAAACAAACATGTAAGGTTTAGCTCTTCATACAAACTATACTAAAAAAAGGAATTCACATCTTAATCATGTAAAATTGATAAAATAAGAAAAAAAAAAGTAAAAGATTAGAGAGTTATCAAGCTTTGTTGTTGTCCTTCAATGAAAGTTCCATTCATTTGATCTCTCACGTCCACATCTTTGCCTTAATTTATCCTTCTTCGTTTTCTTTTCCTTCTTTTGTCAACAACCAATGAATTAGCGTTCTTCTTCTTCCTTTCTGGTTTCACAGTAACAGAACCGTCTATTGTGTCTATTTTATTTTTTTCCCATTTTGTGGCTCTCCCTTCTTTTTTGGTAATATTTTCATTTTATATTGCTCGTTGCTCCCATTTAGGGCTGAAAAGGAGTAAGTCGTCCACCTAGAATGTTCCTAATTTGGTAATCAATGTCACATGGCTTGCTAATTTGGATTATAATTTCCATGTCATCCCCAAAAAATTTGCGTTCTAAATTGCTTCCGTATCCAGGTCAGAAATTTGTTTCCAAATTCGGTAGCATGGTTGTTTCTAGATTTAGTACAGCATGATGGTTCAGCATAAATGTTCGGAAACTTTACCAAATAACTCAATTAATTGTTCAATTAATTCTGATTTATGAAAATTGATATTGTTTTTATGTTGAACCATAATAAACTATTTCATAGTTATTAATTAGAATAAATGAGCAAAAATGGTGAGCATGTTGCAAGGATACATGAAGTTAGGATATTATGCTTACATGTGAGGAATCAACCCTGAGCTGAAGGGAGACAAGCTACCACACTAGGGCTTACAAGCAGTTCCCTAGGGTCCTATATAGTCATCCAAGAGGCTGTTGTGCTCGGATGAGTGGATGTTGAGTTATCACTACCATATGAGACTCGATAGGTCAGCCATGAGCCAATCTAAAGCCACTCAAGACGTACACCAAGAGGTTCTTAAAATAATTAACTAATCCTTTAATAGTTTGTATTAAACTTAGAAGAGTGTTAGTGGTCCGGTGAGCAACGTATCAGGGTGTCATGTTACAGAGAAGGTCTTGGATTGGCCACCTGAGAAGGAACTAGGAGGCTATCTTTGGAGATATAGTAGGGACCATAAGAGTCATGGCAAGGTCCAAGATAATTTCATATGTTTGAAAGAAAGAACATATTGAACACTAATTTAAGAACCGATTGAGTATTAAGAAAAAATCTATTATGTCCTTCGACACTACTGATACCCATAGAGTTTAAGGACCTAACGAATAATGTCATGGTTATGTAATATGGTATTCATTGTTGTCATTGATCACATACCGGTGCTCTTGAGATTTAGAGTGCCAATATTGAGGTTGTGGTTAGGGTGACACCATGCAATCAACACAACTATTAGTCTAGCCATATCAAACCCCACTTTGAGCATAAGCTCTCATGACTTTGCCTTTTGTTTTCCCAAGAGGTCTCATACCAATGGAATAGTATTTCTTACTTGTATACTCATGATCTTCCCTTTAATTAACGAAATGTGGGACTCCACTCCCAAAAATCCTCAAGAATGAACAAATGTTAGATATGACCCACGATCAAAATATACTGAAACAAATAAATAAAGCAGTAAAAAACAATTTGAAGGGAGAGTTTCTTAGAACAAAATAACTTCAAGCATTAGCTTGTCAGCTGGGGTAAAGAGTACATGTGAATACTATTTATAGGATAGAAACGCTAATAAATATTGGGAAGAAAACTTTCTTCATAGCTGACAATTCTTGGAAACTCTAGTAAATTTTCTAAACTTACTCAAGTTAATAACTACTAAAAATTATCCAAGTTAATAACTTATTTTGCTAAGTTAAGCTTATTGATTCACAGGCTCGACCCTTACCTGGTTGAATAGGCACTATCTAAATTGTTAGGGTGACAATCTATATTTCCAGAGTAGGGTTGTGATAGCTACACCCACTTAACTTACAGTGTTATGATTTGAATTTTGAGGGTTCTCAAAACTCAGATCATGTCTTTAAAAACTTAAAAGATGAAAAGTAAAAATTTATGCGTTTAAAAAAAAATATATAAAACATAAATACATTTTATTTACAAATATAAAATGAATTTTATGAGTTTCCAAAAACTAATATCTACGTAGATAGTGGTTGAGAGGAAGGAGTGCTCGAGGCCTGTTCCATCCAAGGGAACAGCCCCAACAGAATCATAGGGGATCATATAATGTGTAATACGTGGTGTGGGGTTTGGGGTATCAGTGCTCATCTCATTCCCAAACCATGTTTCCTTTCCTCCATCTAACCAACCTCCCCACATCACCCTCACCCGCCGCTCTCAACAACTCCCTCCATCCAACACCAACACCAACACAACAAACCCTCCTTTTTGCTCACCCAATTACTCCCCTTTGCCTTCCCTCAATCCACATTTCTTCACCTTCCCATCATCTCTCCCCCTCCCCCTTTACCCTATCTTCCATGTGCGTATATTCACATTCCCCTCCCGTCACTTTTCTTTCGGTTTTCGAGCAAGATTTCATATTGATTTTGACACTCGAGTACAAAATAGGTATATGAATAAACCGATACCACATACAAATCAGAGCAATCATAAACAAATGAACAATCACTATTTATACTAAAAAGATTCTTTTTTTTTTTTTTTTGTATTCGTCAACCATAAAAATTTTAAGATTAAGCGTGTTTTAGGTCAAATAATTTTATATTGGGTGACCTCTTAAAAAATTTTATTATGATGTATGTGTTGTGAGGATAGTTTTCCGTCTTACAACTAAAAAGTAAATAATGTGATCATGTTGCAGAGGATCTGATTCGAATTCTAGAAATGAGTTATTACACCAATGAAAACGTTTCTCACTTATATACTCACGATATTTTTTTTTATATTTGTTTTTATTGCGAATGCAGAATAATTTAAGTCGCACTCCTACCGGTTCTCATTTACTTAATGAATCGAAAAAGTAAAATTTGCAAATAAGTAGTTGGTGATGAAAGAAACAATGAAAAAAAAAGGGAAAGTAGGTGGGTGAGGAGTGAGCACACGTGGGAATGGCAGGAGAAAAGAAAGCAGTGCAGGAGGGGGCAGCTGAGTTGAGATGAAAACAAGACATGCATGATTGACAATACCCCACCTACATCACCATTCTTTTACATACATTTCCCTCTCTTTTTCCTTTGCTTCCTTCCTCGTTCATTCGTATCATATCAACTCTAATCATTCTTATAAATAATATTTTGTTCTCTTTCTTAATCCATATGAAATCCTACCACTAATTAGACTATTCCTTAGTATACTAATACTATGCCCTAATAAAAAAGAAAATAGAGCTTATGGTTGGAAGGGTTTAGGTACCCCTAAAAGTGGTACGAAAAGAGAGGGAAAGGAGGCCTACACCTAAGAGTTGTAGACTTGTACGCCTACGCTCCTTTTCTCCATCTCTACCCTAATTTATTAATTAATTCGTGGACCCACTTTAAGTTTCACCTGTTTTTTTTCCCTTTATAATATGTCTTCTTTTGTTCTTTTCTTTTCTTTCTTTTTACGTTTCTCATAATTAACACGCCCACCTCTGCTTCTGCTCACACAAGTACATAACAATTTTTTCAAAGTAATTACGTGGACTTTTCATTAAATTTTGACCCATGCTCTTTTCTTTACTTACAACTAACTTCCTATTTTTTCACAAATTTAAGAGAGAACTAATTTTATTTAGATGATTTAGAATGTAATAGATTGAAAATAGCCATCTAAATTCATTCATTTATCAAACTTTGAGTTTTAAATTCATATAATTATTAATTTTGAGTTTCTCAATCTATATTTAACTTAAA